AAAAAAACACGGAGGGCACCTATAATAAAAGCGTGTCCTCTACAAATGTCACTTTATAATTTTTTACTAAAAGCGCATTTCTGGGACTCCTTGATAGATAAGGGGGAAAACGAAATCCCCCAAAATTTTGAACACCCGCCTTCCTCTTCCTCTGTATTCTCTACACCCGCCAGATCGACTTCATTCTCTCCCTTCCATCTCTATGCAAACTCCTTCCTCTACGATCGACTTTCACTTCCTTCTTTGTGCAAACCCTAATCAAACATAACGCATATGCAATGGTAATATCTTCTTTCACAAAATAGACGATTGATCGAAGAACTAGGGCTTTTGATGAATCGGATATCACCAACAACGATAGCTACCCATCACAATTTGTGTTTTCTCTCGGACTCCATCGTTCCAACATCGCACCACAACACCATCCCTGAGCCACCACCACACTGCCTTCGCAACATCCCATAACCACCACTACACCACCACATGTCTTTCAACAAACCTAAAAAGTCGCAATCAGTTGTCGCTTTACAGATTTAAGAGTTTTGGTTGTCGTGGATATTGTCGATGTTTCCTCTTCTACTATCAACTCTCTCATCTCCAACCAACCTCAACCTAAACGTGCCTCCCACCTTTGATCAGGTTTAGTTTCCTCATTATACTGTTTCCATAAGAGCATTCGTCGTCTGTCTTAAGTTTTTTTTTTTTTACACAAAGTATGTTAATTGGTACCTGAGTTTTGACTACTTTTAGATTTTAGTAAATGAAATTCAATATTTCGGTTTAATTTCCCCATTTTTCTGTTTTAGAGGAACATTCGCTATATTTTTATTGCGTTATAAGCTTTTTTTTAACTAGATTTATCGTATTTCACTCGATTTCATGAGCTTTCATAGGATTACATGTGTGTGCATTTATCTATTTAACTGTGTGTATCTATGTGTATTGATTTGTTAATAATGGTTATAAAAATATGTTTTTGAACAAACAGGTAGCTTTTATTAATAGTTCTATAGCCTTTTCAACAGGATAGTGATAGATATTTCTTTGATGATGGATTTGATTTTAGTAATCTTACTTTAAAATTCATTGTGTAGATTATTACAGTAGGAAGGGGTTGTGCATATTGTTAGGGGTTGGAAGAGCTAATCGAGGGGAAGAATAGATGAGCTATCAAGTTGAAAATGCATGTAAATAGTCACATAACAATGATCTGAAGTATTAGAAACGCTTATTGAGGGGTGGATCTTGTGCACTTTTGGAATAATAACATTATTGCCTTGACAATACAGATCTTCCAGCAGCAGAGATCAGCCAATATAAACTTGTATTTTCCCCCTTTTGGCTCTCATTCCTAGTTGCTGCAGAAAGAGCAGGAAAATCAAAGGTAACAGATTACATTTGTGTGGTACTTGATTTTGAAAAAAAAAATATGCTGCTATACTCGATTTAACACCTAACCCGAAGAAAAAAAAAAGAGAAAAAAAACAGTAGTTGTTTGTACCGCTTGGTTTCAATGAAAAACAATATTTTTTTGTATGATTTGTTAAAAATGGTATGAACATTGTGAAATTTTGTTAAAACTATATGAACATTGTGAAATTTTGTTTTATGAAACATAAGGGTAAAACGGTAATTTAGTCTAGTTAAAAAAAGAAGGTGTCTCGTGTATTATGCTTGTACCCTCTGGTTGTCTATATTCAAACTGTGAATCGTCCTTGACCTTTCTTTCTTTTTGTGAAAACTAGTATAGGTGGCTTTCCTCAAGATCATGTAGCCCTACAAAGTCACCATTTGAAGAAAAATTTCTCTCACAACAACCTCAAGCTCCAGCTGGATGGCCAAATTTTCTGTGTCTATGTTCTGTTTTCACATATGGATCTATTCAGCTCCAATGGTCTGAATGTGACAACCCGAAATTTTCATTTGTATAAACTCTACAGTCAAGCACTACAAATATTAGTCAAATTCATTTTGGAAATTTTTAGCCGGTTTTAAGTCCGTTTGGGTGTTTTTATTTTAAATTCGTCAAACGAATAAATAAAAGGAAGTATCGTTATAAGTGATGTGTAACAATTAAACATTTCAACACCATAACAAGGTGTTTACGGCCAAACTTGGGGAGTTTGGGCCGTAAACTCCTTTTGACCATGAACTCATGCATATAGCATGAGTTTACCCTTCATTCCCTCACTTTACACTTCCAAACTCAAGAACTCCCAACTTCTCTCTCAAGTATCATAACACTCTCCTTCCAATCTTCCAAAAATGTAAGTTTTTCTTGACTTGATTTGTTATTATAACCTTCCTTCTAGTTGTTATACATCATTTCATCCATAAATTCTTCATTTTTACTTAGATCTTCAAGTGTTCTTCAAAACACCAAGAACACACACTAGTGTTCCTTAGCCCTAAACACTCTTACAAGCTTCCTATAAGTAAGTACACTCCTCCTAACTAGTTACTTGCTTAGAATACTTGCTAAACCATTGAAGAACACCAAAAACCCCCAAGAACACATGGGTTTACGGTCAAGGGATATCCTTGAATCGTAAACACCATCTAGTGGTGTTTAAGTGCCACTAACACCTTCTAAGGCTTGGATATTGGGCTACAACCTTGCATGCATGAGCTAGAAACCCCAAATCATGAAATGGTTGGAGTGACCATGAGTTTACGGCCATAAACTCATGGGTTTACGACCGTAAACTCAAGGGTTTACGACCGTCAACTCCCAAGGAGTGGTCCAAGGACCGTAAACTCCAAAGATGAGCCATTTCGAGCCCTAGTCCCTTCCTAAGCCTTTGATTCAAACCTAGAACACTTCCTTGAGGTGTATAGGACCTTAAAACACACAAATGTACAATTTACCATGATTTTACGGCCGTAAACTCATCGGGGAAATGACCAACAACCGTAAACACATGTAGGGTTACCAAATGAGAAGTAAACTCCAATGTGAGGCCATACTCTCCTTAGATGCAACCCTTTAGCACTCCTAGCACTTGAAACAAAGTGTTTCCATGTATTAGGATGCCTTTACTTGATTAATTAGTTGTTAAATGACTAATTAGATATATTTATGTATCACTACATGTTACATAGGATCCGTGTGTGTGTTCAAGTCCTCACTTGACACTTAGCATCCTATCCGACGCTTCCATCCAAACCACTCACTGCAGGTGAGTTCATACCCCTTAATCAACCTTTTTAAATGTTTTAAATGCTTTTATGGGGGGGGGATACAAGTTGAACCATTCTAGTTATCGCTTTAATCACATGTGATTAATAACTAGAATAAACAGAAAGATTTACTACTACTTTCAAATTATTATCAAACTTGTGGATTTTCAAGCTTTCAAACCTTTTTATTAAACTATTTAGATGCTAAAACTGTTTTCAAACTCTTTTATACTTACAATATTTTCAAATCCATATCTACATCACTATATTTATATAAGTAAGACTTGAAGGACTTAGGACTGATAGCTCACCTTACTTCCTGTTCCTTGTTTGGTTGTGGACTTAGGGTATCCTGTTATCTGTCCGAATGTCGTTGAATTCTTAGTTATATATATATATATATATATATATATATATATATATATGTGTGTGTGTGTGTGTGTGTGTGTGTGTGTTGGATATAAAAGCTTTTACTTCAGTACTGTACCTTTGTGTAACAAAGGCATCCAAACAACCTTACTATTTAGCTATAATAGGTATAGTTAAGGGATTATTATTCACTATTATTATTACTCATACAAGAGTCAGTACATTTATGAGTCACTACATAAGTACTACATTGAGTAACAATACATGCTATACACTATACAAGAGAACATACTAAACACTATACAAGAGAACATACTATACACTATACAAATATTGAATACTATAACGAAATGCGACATACTACTTCTCGATACGACACTTCATAGTGGTATCACCGTGTAACCAGAGTCTCCTGGAGGGAGAGCGAGCATTGTGTGTATAGATCTATACGGGACAGACACTCCCACATCCCGACTGCTAGCTACAGTCCGAGCCGATAAGGCCCAGGGGTGACAAAATGTCACACTACTACATATGACCTGGAGGGTCATCAGTTATTCAGCCGTCAATTAGCATGGTTACATACGAGTTCACATTCAAACCTTTATTTTGTAATCACATTATCTGAGTGAAGTCTAAAACTATATTTTCATACTGATAGTTTCACTAGGGAAAAACTCTTACATTTACAAAAGAACAATTATCCAAACAATCGGGTCTTGGTAGAAGACTACCTTTTTATTGGAAAACACAGGGTTTTCTAGGGAGTATACTATTTTCAAAACATTTGAAATCAATTACTACACTGCATTGTTACTAACATTTTTATACAAGCAAAGACACTAAATACTTATGAAATCACCAGCTTTATGCTGATACTCGCTTTCAAAATAACTTGTATTCTCAGGTCATCAGTAGACAGGTAAAGATGAAGCTTCTGAGAAGATGGAGCACATACAAGACTCATCTTTTATTTTGATTATACTTTTGGTGTCTTGCAAACTGTACAGAACACGCTTGTATTACAATTATTATATTAATGCAATGGACGTTGTTGCTTGTCTTTACTACTATGCATTGTTGTGATACTGTACATGACGTCCTCCACCCCAGAACGTTTCCGCCGTTCTTGGTTTTGGGGTGTGACACTGAATGGCCACTGAATCAAAGTGGCACATCTGAATGGTATTGCATAAGCAAAGCCCTCTTGGGAGCTGGGCCTAGTGGGATTATGACAACTCATGCAATCATGACAGATTCAGGAGCTTTACATGTGGCAGGAGTCCCAATTGTGAACCCGTCAATACAATGTTGCTTTTTTTCAATGTGGAATTGAATATGGTTTATCTGAAGTTAAATTAAAATTGTTGGAAATCTGGTAAAAGCCATATTGGTTATAATGTTGATTTTCTGGACATTAATTGGTTGTGCCGGATTACAGGTGCATAAAGATGCAACAACAGAAAACAGTAGGTGAACGCTTAATTACTTTGACATTGGGAGGCCACTGGGGAGAGGAAAGTTTGGTCATATCTACATAGCTAAGGAGAAGATCTGGAGTTATCTGGTGAAAGTGAAAGAAGTGAAAGATATTAATGACTTGGTATTGAGGTTTGACCAATTTCAGTCTGCATGTTGGGCGTTGACCAAGTCATGGATTGATGTTCAAGTTGATTTGGAGTTATCTGGTGAAAGTGAAAGAAGTGAAGATATTAATCTGAATCACTTCTTGGACCTGAAAATTGGCCACTTCAAGTATTAAACCAACAACCACGTGACCTTTCTGCCCTTCTTCAAAAGCTTCATTTAAGGTAAAAGTATAAATCTGGGATTTATATTTTTAGTTTAACAAAGATTTTTGGTACTTAATTTTTTTTAATTTATTTATGATTTAGTGAGTCTGTATATAAAGCTGTAACTCGAGGGTGTAAGGAGCAACATCGCCAGATCGAGGTTATCATTTTTTTCTTTTCCTTTTTACAATTTTTTATTTGAATAGAAATAAGTCAAATAACATGATTTTTTTTATTAATTTTGTAAACAGATGAGTTTAATGTTTGGGGATATTCCTCGTTTACTTGACCTTATATGGTCATGGATATCTCCATCAGGAGGCGATGAAGATATCTTCAGGTAAATAAATCATCACTCTTTCATTTCATTTTTTATAAAGTTTTTTCATTTTTAGATTTTCTTGAAATTGTTTTTTTCTTTTTGGAAGGCCTCATGGGGACCCACAGATGATCCGTTTTGGGGCACATTTAGTTCTTGTGCTTCGTCATTTACTAGCTGATGAAATGAAACATGCTTTCAAGGAGAAGACAATGACTCTTGGTGATCTTATTCTTCACATGTCAGTCTTTACTATCCTTTTTTTCAATAATTAACTTTATTTCTTTTAACTTGTTTGAACTTAATATGGGCAAATATGTAATTTTCAGGTATGCTGTGTTTCTTTTTTCAAAACAACAAGAAGAGTTGGTCGGAATCTATGCATCTCAGCTTGCACGCCATCGTTGGAGTTACGCTTGAATTGCAGGTGAATTTTTATACATATATTTTAACAAAATATTTACATTTGTAGATATTTTTAATACTTTTTTTTAATGTTTGGTAGTGTTCATTTCCAATACAAAATCTTTCTTTCTGCTATAGAGTACCTCCCGTTTTCCCCTGGAGATGATTCAAATGGCAGTTTTGAAAAAGGAAGCTGTGAAGAAATTATGTCTATGCTGTCAACTTTTGACTTGAAAAAAAATGTTTTGTATTATAGGTTATTATAGCTACTTGTATGCAAAGTGTTTTGCATCAACCATATGGGAAAGAGTATGCAAGGAGGATCCAGTGTGAATAGAGATTGGTACTGCTATTAGAACAAAGTTACCGCAACATGGTGGAGCTAAAGATCCTGCACAGTTACTTAATGATCTTGCTGGTGATGGGATTACAAGGAGCTACCAAAATCATGGACATGGAGGAGGTATAGTTCCAAAAATGGCATAACATTTAATGAATTGAACTTAAGAAGATGAAACAAAATCACGATTTTGCCCTCCTATGCTGTTTTGCCAAAGAAGGAAATTAAGCAGGTCTGGTGTGGCCAATGACCAATTCTATGTTGTTGATCATATTAGTTTTTTCTGAAATCGAGCACCATATTCTTGCATTAAAGGTTTTGTTCAAAGCCAACTCAAACAGTCCTAGGTGGAGCACCAACTTTGCGGTGAAGTTGAAATACAAAGTCACCTTAGGCATCCTAATATCCTTCGACTATATGGTTATTTTTATGATAAGGTACACAATCTTTCTATCATATTCTTGTTCAAAAGATCTATCAGAAATTTATAGATCATATACAACAACTCCCAAAGAAGAGAGTCTACCTGATCAAAAATTTATAGATCATACCAACCTATATGGAACACCTCTTATCAGAAGCCCTTATTTCATTACTCAAAATTTGACATTCTCTGTTAGTGCCATTTATTTTGTGATTCTTGTTTCAACAGGTGTGTAATGGCACAAACAATCAAACTAATTTGGTCAGTTTCACAAGGTCACTAATTAACATGCACACATCCAATTTGTTTTGTTAGGACAAATAATAAATATCATGTTGTTTCAGGTTAGCCCTTCAACTCACTTTGGGTGGATGCCTTCTTTGTGCAACTGGTAAATCTCTATCTTCATTTCAAAACTTTAAGTAGGAATTCCTATTATAGTATTGTAGAAAAATCTACAAAATTGACATATTTTGTTTTTGCAGGATAAAGCAACTTCTGGAAAACAGGGACTTGGTATTAGCAAGGTTTCATTTTCATGGGACAAAAATGTCTTTTAGTGATAGTGAGTGGGAGAAAAATAGCAGGAGTTACGTTTGCCAGTGATTTGATTAAGCAGATGAATGAGGTTATTTTCGGCTTTTCACATTAAATAAAACCAGTCTTCTATTCTCAATTCCACTGATGTTAAATTCTTTTTTTTGTGGTTAGGAATCCTTTTTTTTTTGTTCTGAATTTTTGGCCTCACTAAGTTGGCAAACTGTAGTCGATTTCTACTTAATTATTGTGAATTTTTGGCTGAACTACTTATGATCTTTCAAGAAATAGTCTGTACAGATAAAGATTCCCTCTATACCTCATACACAATGTTTATTTATAACTCTTATTATTTCATTTCTATCTTATTCTTCTAATAAGCCATCAATTCCAATGCAGTCGACTGTTTTTTAGAATCTTTATGATTTGTATTTAGTTTCTATCCAGACCAAATTATCCTTGAAAGGACTTATTAATGATCATCATTTTTGGTAATACATGATATGGCATCATGTGAAATTGTTCATAATTGGGTTGTTAATGCTCCTGTTTGTTTTCATTTATGTAGGTAACAATCTTTTTGAATTAGAGGTGAAGAACACATGGCTTTCTTTGGACCATATGAATCAGATGTAAATGCTAACAAGTTTAACACTCGAGTCCATACGATCAGATGTTAATGGTTACAAGTTTAACACATGTGTCTTTGTTATACATACAAATTAGGAAGGTAGATCCGACTTTGGGCATGGATGATTATTTGTTAGTTTTATAGGAATGTATAACCCATGTTAGAAATGTATTATTTTTGTTTAACATTTGAATGATTCTTTTTATGACATATTATAATTTGTGCAATTTATTTTATTTTTTGAGTATGAAATTTTATTTTATATTATGCAATGGATTGTAGTTTTTCTATATGGTATTTTATTTCTATTATGAGACATTAAATGTAAATTTAATTTAAAAATTAAGAATTATATAAATATTTTTTTTAAACATTTAAATTTACGATACGCAAAAATGTGTGTCATCTTCGTTAATGACATGGCTTTTCTTGACAGGGGTTTTAATGATACGCATTGCGTGTCATAAATGCTCGTCGTCTATAGACGACACACAAAAGCGTGTCGTCTCTCGTTATGACAGGGCCTTTCTTGACACGCATTTGTGCGTCGTCTGAGCGTTTTACGACACACATTGCGCGTCGTAAAAGGCTGTTTTTCTAGTAGTGAGCACCTCAATCTAAGTGTTTCCTAAGTCCTAAGGTGTTTTCCTTACATGATTAGTTGTTTAAACACTAATTATATGCATATATGTGTTATTATATGCTTATTAGGATCCACTGTGCTCAAGTCTTCACTTGACACTTAGCATCGTACAATCGATCTTTCATTCACATCACTCACTACAAGTGAGTTCATACCCCGTAATTTACCTTTTAAATGATTTTAAATTTTTTTATGGGGGGGAATACAAGTAGAAACATAATAGTTATTATATCAATCATATGTGATTAATAACTATCAACCAAATGGATTTCTTATACTTCAAACTGTGTTTTTAGTCAAATTGCGTCAAATCGTTTTACAAACTCTTTTATAAGCAACACTCTTTATCAAATTTTTAAACGTATATTTTGTCAAAAGTATACCTATATAGACATAGTTATATAAGTAGGATTGAAAGGACTTAGGACTGCTAACTCGCCTTACTTCCTGTTCCTTGTTTGGTTGTGGACTTAGGGTATCGGTTGTTTGTCCGAAGGTCGTTTAAATCTTACTTATATATTATGTGTATGTATATAGATATAAAAGTTCTTCATTCAGTTCAATACCTTTGGGTAGCAAAGGTGTGCAAACATGTTCATTCATACAAACAACATTGCTAGTAAACTATAATAGGTACAGTTTAGGAAGTCAGTAATATTATGACTAGAACAATGAAACACACAAAGAGTCAGTTCATACATGAGTCAGTACATACAATAATGAGAGACAATACTCACTATAAAGAGAAACAGATAGAGAATACTATAACGAGAGACAATACTCGCTACAAAGAGAAACAGATAGAGAATACTATAAGGAGAGACAATACTCACTATAAAGAGAAACAAATAGAGAATACTATAACGAGAGACAATACTCACTATAAAGAGAAACAGATAGAGAATACTATAACGAGAGACAATACATACTACACACTATACACTAGAGAACATACTACATACTAGACAGAGAGAACATACACTACACTAGTACATACTATACGAATACAAGAATACTATAACATTAATGTGAGATACTACTTCATGGCTCGGCAATATACTGCTGCGTCACGTTTTATACCCAAAGTCTCCTGGAGGGAGAGCGTGAATTTGTGTATAGATCTATACGGGACTGACCCTCCTACACCTTGCTGCTAGCTACAGTGGGACCTGCGGGTCTACGGGTGATGAATGTCATATCATTTCGATGTCTAGAACGTTGTGTTATACTAGTCGATCAAGTATGGTTACAATCATATCACATTTTACCTTAATTAAACTAACAAGTTTAAGGTAGTTAGTACATTGGTAGTTACCTAGATAAAACTACAGTACATCTTTATTTTCCCATTTCATTCACATTGTGATCTTCTCACATAAACGGTAATGAAAAACTATATTTTTGGTAATGATAGTCATACTTTGGGAAAACTCACACTTTTACAAAAGAACAAACATAGAGAACACTTGAGTCTTGGTAGAAGACTATTTTAGTAGAATATGGGATTTTCTAGGAAGTTTACAAACATTTACATCAAATACTTACAAACTTTTACATCAAACATTTACAAGTACTTTATTCAAACTTATACAAACAATGACACTAAAATACTTAAGAACTCACCAGCTTTAATGCTGATATGCGCTTTTAAAATAACTTATATTCTCAGGTCGCTAGTAGACAAGTACTGATGCCCAGGTTTTGAGAAGATGGAGCACATTCAAGTCTCATCTCTTATTTTGATTATTCATTTTTGGTGTCATATAACTATACTGAACACACTTGTATTATATTATACTATTAATACAATGGATGATGTTGTTTCTTGTTTTACTATTATGCATTGTTGTGATACTATACATGACGTCCTCCACCCCTGAACGTTTTCACCGTTCCGGTTTTGGGGTGTGACAGATTGGTATCAGAGCGTTGTTTATAGTGAATTGAGTATATCAACCCATAAAAGATATACAACTATAAACACATCGGGATTAAAATACTCTGACCTAGAGTTTATACTTTTAAATAATAAAATATGTACCCAAAGTATACATACCTGCATTCATACTAAAATCAGTGTCACTGGGACAGAACAAAAGTATTACGATTGTTGGACAACATAAGCAGGCTTGGGAATATATAATCGGCTCTGGGAGTGATATCGCCTGATCAACTATATCTTTCCGAGAAGTGATTAGCATGTGCCTAGGAATGGTTGTGAGGTTGCAGCAAGTCTAAAAACTTACCAACACTACTACAATGCAAACATTAGAACAGAACATAAACTTAAAACACTATAGGAGTATTTTGTGTTACTATAATTACTTATGTGCAAACTAAAAAGGTCTTTACTAGTATGTCAATAGTTGCTGAGTGGATATGCTAAGGTTATATGTGACTAGGGTGTTATACACTTAGAATCTGTTATCTTTGCTTTACTTCCTGTTCTTTGTTTGGTTGTGGGCTTAGAGTTAGGGTCACTTATTCGAAAGTCAATCCTGTTTTGGTTACATATTCCCGGAGATCCGTACTTTCCCAACCACGAAAATGATGGATGCCTCGACGATGAGCCAGAAGAAAATCATGCGATCCCGTTGGACGATGACTTCGCAGAGAACTTCTCGGAGGATTCTGACTCCGAGCCCGAAGTCAATGATCAACCCTTGGTAGCTCCAAACCCAAATCCTAACGCTCGTCCAGCTTTTCAAGGCCCGACGCCTCTGTGGGTAGAAAGTTTGGAGACATGGAGTCAAGAACAGGGTCAACCCATTCCATACAACGAAGACCGAAGCTTCTACAACGTGAGCGAAGGAGGCTCAACGGACAGAGTCCTGCCTATTCTTGTCCGCAGAGTTCCTCGTAACGAAATTCAGGGTAGGACAGCCCTCAACCGAATTGCAGAACTTGATGCCAATACAGGGATCAACACTGTCTGCATTTGTCGTCTGGAGGATGCTCGCGACAGAACTGCGAGAGACCATGAGTCTCTTTTGCAAGAGCCAGTTGTGACTCAAGCTGAAGTCATAGAACATCGCCTGCGCCAGTGAGTGTACGAGCGACGCCTTCTTGACATGGAGCATCAGCTGGCTAACTTAAGGGTTCGCCCAAGGGGTTCCCGTCGCCACTAGGGAATGCTCTGCTCAAATTTCCGTTTATCTAAGGATTAACCTTCTTAGCTATGCTCTAAGTAACACTTTTCCCTGTAAATTCTTGATTATCTTAATACCTTGAACTTTCAGTCTAATAGGTCTTTATGCTGTCAAAATTTTCCTATTCTGGTTTGATGTAAGACCTACTCCTAGGTAATTTTTCCCGAACTTGTTACATCTATAATACCAGTATATTTGGCAGATATCTAATCAAATAGGAGATCTTTAATTCAATCATACTTTCATCTGTTTTGTTGGGCTATGGAGAGTCAGTCCATGTTTCACACTCTTCATTCTCTCTATTTGAATACTTACCAATATCTTCATCTTTTAAAATTATAGCTACAAGATTCATCCAGGCCGAATAACGAGGCGCAATCCTCCGATAACTCCGAATCAAACTCCACCTCCTCCTCCTCAATACAACCCAACAACTATTCAAGTTGCTGTGAATGCGGCTGTTACGGCAGCTCTAGCGCAATTCACCTCGACCGGTACTAGTGGGAGTGGGACTAATGTGCCTCCCACTATAGTTGAAGCTCCAATCCACTCTAGAGAGTGCTCGTATAAGGAATTCACCAACTGCAAGCCCAGGTCCTTCAATGGGACTGGCGGAATCATTGCCCTCTCGCAATGGTTCGAGAAG